TTTTCTTTTAAAATTATTTTACAATTGTAATACATAAGGGTTTTATTTAAAACATTTTTTTATATATTATTTTCATAGAAAAGAAATATACGTTTTTCATGATGGTGAACATCATAATGGGGACGTTTCTATGATCATCAAGTTTTAGCAATTTTCCACGTAGATTTCGCAAATCTATCAATTTTTTTAAATACTCGTGTAGCATTATGTTAATAATATTCAAATAGTACTCATATAATGTAATCATAAGTTTTTTGGCATGGGATAATTCAGCGGAATTATTCATCCTATATTAAATCATTGACTACCTCATAGCTCCTGTTTCGTAAAGAATATGCCAATCTCAAAGGTTAGCATGGTTTATAATTAACTCAAAAATTTTGTCACGTCTCTGCAAGTTTCGGAGACTTGCAAGCAATCTCATCTATTCTCAACCCTGTTCCATCAACCTTAACTTTAGCGCAATTTGATGGTCTACCAACCGTGATTTTGCAGTTTATACTCGAAGAGGAAAGTCCATTAAGTTGTGATCATCATTTCAGTAGCGATTGCATTATCGCAGTGCGAAATGCAAGAAGAAGGACATTGTGAAAGGTTTGCTGGAGTGGAGAGGCTAGCATATCTCTCGGTTAAGTGATCGATAAGCTATCCGCAAAACGGCACACGCCCTATTTGCTTTATCATCGAGTTAATGATCTCTGAGGTGAACGCGCGCATTTGCGTTGCGAAACGTTTACGAAGCAAAGTGTAAAACGTACAAATTTACAGGACATTATCCCGAAGTCGGGATCGCGGATTAATCCCCCCGGTGATTCTTGGTATACATGAAAGCTCGAGTAACCTCCCCGTCTCGGCGAACGATCCCGGTTTAGCTATCATTCGTGAGTTTATTACGACGGACAGTTGATTATTTCATTTAATATCCAGGTCATTGTTTGCAATCTCACCAGACCGTGCAACGAATCGCTAGCTCTAATAAATTTTTGCAAATCAGTTCATTCCGTTCGTGACGTTCATGATGAATATAAAGACTGTCGTGAAAAACGCGAATGGTCTTCTATTTTTGAAAAGATATAAAAGATTTTAAAAAGACTTTCATGGCATTTTAAGGTTGTTATAATTGTGCATTTAGATTTTCCAAAAAAAAATCTGCTGTTTTTTAAAATACTTTTGAAATATTTTATTTTTTTAAACTGTAAAATTATTTTATTATATGAATGAATTTGATATAAAATCATCTTCAATTATAATTTCATAAAAATAATAATAAATTTAAGAAATAATATGATGATGATTTTAAGAAATATAAATCTTCAAAAATTTAAATATACATAGTAAAAAGCCATAAGAATTGATTTTTTTCTATATCTTATTATTTTGATAATAATTGTTTAAAAATATAAGCGTTAATTTTCTGTGAAATACTTTATCTTAAATTTTGAACATTGGATATATATGTATGAGAAAAATGCACGACTTAAATTTTTATTATATTTTATCAAGTAATCATGCTAATAAGAGCCGATTAAATTTTTGTGTTTAATAATGTATTTCAAAGAGAATCAAATCGATTTGCACAATTGTAATATATTATGTTTGTAATAAAATAATGCTAGAATGATTGTTTAATATTTACACATTACGTTTTAATATTGATGCATATTGATAAATGTTATATTTGAGATCAAATAGAATATTAAAACTCGAGTGAATTAAATTTCAAAAAATTCAAATAGACTGTATCTAAAATAATTTTTCTTAGAAATACGATATAATAAATAACAAATGTTTATAAACTCTAAAACAACCTAATACTATGAAGATGCCTGTTTCATGATTCGGTTTTAGAATGCGAGAGAATTGTTAAGCCATCGCTAATCCCAATTGCTTCGTGGAAGCCTAAATTTCTGATCCTCAGCAGACTAATCTACGGTATAACGGTATAAAAGCACTCCCTTACAGTTTCGTTTACAATCCTCGAGGGTTCTACAAGGCAGCACGGCTTACTACGAAGAAGCAAGGAATAGGCTGTGAATAGCTATCTTCCGCCTCGGCACTTAGAAGAGAAAACATTTCTTTTCCGACACGAGTGTCGACAGCTGTAGCGATAACGATACTTGACACATAATTGCATCCATTCTGCGTTCAATAGTAACAACATCAATATCGTCATGACACGTTTTGTAATGCTTCGAATAGTTCGATGCAAAGATTGAGGTAAAAGAGAGACTGCGGCGAAAAAAAACTGTAGGCGAATCAGTACGATAAGAAATTTGAAGCGAATATTTTGTTTCCCAATGTAGAAAATCGATTTGGGATCCCTGCCGTAACTCGCGTCGCTCGAAAACTTGGGAAATACTTTTTGCGGATGAAGTTCCCGGGAATCGCGCCAGGGACGTCATCGAAGCGAAACGCGATACCCAAACTTCGGTCTTGATCGCAAACTTTGCAAAAATGCACCGGTGGACGTGTAAAGTGCACTTAGGTATTTCGTTCCAATGACAGATCGACAAATATATATAGAAAGAGATGCATTAGAGAGGCGCACAGACTGCATAAAACGCGCTTCCGTCTGGAACTCTGGATTCACGTGAAGACGAAAGACACGAAGATTATATTCGTTTTGCGGACGACAGGCGCGACAGTGTTCCTCCTTCACCGCCTCTCTTCCACAGAGAGGGAAAATATCTTGCCACGGAGGGAATTCGCGGCGACGCGGAATGGCGAGCGTCTTGAATATAAACCGACTATGAGGTGATTCCGGTTCACGCCATCGTCTACGAGAGGATGCAAGGGGATGCTATCCATTTTCGTTCAGGATCTGAAATTCAGCCGCGCTTCTTCAATCGCAAACTCTCAAAATCCGGAAGTGGAAGAATCGACCTATCTGAATCTAAATCCCTACGTTGCATTGCCAGTAACGATTTCCTTCCTACGAGACTAGATGGGACGAAACGGTTCTGTTCCGGATTTCGCGACCGCTCCTCTGCGAGAAGCTGAGCCATGAAGAATCACGCAAACGCGCGAAGCTCGCTTCATTAGTGTTCTTTTCGCGACACAGGACGTTCGATTTTACCTCCAATCGTATTCCGCATTCTCGCGGTCCCCTTCAACCTTTTGATTCGGAAACGTAGATTCATGAAAGATACGTGATGAGACAGACAAGTTTGACGAATTTATTTGATTAGACGTATAACATTCATTTAATCCATAATATAATATCATGGGGATTGATTGCTAAATTTTATTTTTCAATAACTTAATTTTGTTTTTACATAATTTGTCGTTCACTTCAATGAATTTTAATTCACACACATAAATATAATTTTAATTCAGCTCACCTTTCAGAGCTAACGTGAGTCTATTGAACTCATTCAATTATGTCCCTCCAAAGCTGACAGTGGATTTATATAGTGAAATTATTTGGATAATAAAGATTCTAATGAGTAAAAATAATTAAAGCTTTCTTCTGTGAATGTTAAAATAAAAAAATATTATTATATTTGAATTTATTAGTTCTTAATTCTTTTATCTATTATTGTAACAATTACCATTTTATACGAAAATATCAAAGAATCCGATTTTCTTTATATTACATCCGCAAATTTAGATTATTCTTCTTAAAATAGATTCTTAATATTTATTCTTTTTTTTTATTCTTATGTTTCTTTATTCCTTGAAATTAATTAATATTTTTTA